GAAAGAAAAGCAATGACTTCCAACTTTTTCTCAATGGAGTAGCATAAAAAATAAAGTTGCGGCTTCTCCATGGTCATGTGAACAAAATTTTGGCACATGGCAACAGGCATTTATGATAGTTGCACTGTTCTGGGATCATGCGATTGCTATTTGTAACTTGCTTAGCTGGCTTTTCACAAGCAAAATCAATGGGGGAAGCCAGAGTATGATTTAACGACTGCAATGATTTGCTTAACGACTATGGCAGAAAGGTCATAAAACGGGGTGCAACTCACTTAGCAACTGCCTTGGTTAGCAATGGAAATTTTAGGCTCAATTGTAGTTGCAAGCTGAGGATTACCTGTGTACTGATTATTACTTGCGTTATAGCCCTGCAATATTAACTTATCTTTATTACTTATGATAAAGATTCTATAATTCATAAGCAAACAACCGCTCAGCAAGGCAATAAACCAAACAAACTGTTTAGATGGGCAACCTACATTACCTACAACTTAAAAGTCCCATTTGCGCCGAAGAGTACTGATTATTTGATTACTTAGTGTTAACATCAATGGATAAGCTGAAGTAAAACCTGGCTAGGCAGGGGTGGGATAGGACAGGGTTAACTACTGGTTCGGGATTGACGAGCTTCCCTGCAGGTTGTGAGCCGAGTGCCTGTAAAACATCAGCAGCAGCTGCCTGCAGAGAAGCAGCCTTTGAAACAGCCCTCTTTTCTTGCTTTTCTGCCTCAACTTTGGCAGCTGAAGTTGAAAAATCAGGAAATAAAGATCAGGTAAGAGCCCAGGTGGGCAAAAACATCAGCAGACATAGAACTGGTTCTATGTCTGCTGCTCTTCAGAGCTACCGGTTCTACAGAGGTGGACAGAACCAGTAGAAACCCACCCGTGGCTAGGTAAAATTCATCTTCCTGAGAAATATCTATTATACCTCATGTTCTTTGGAATATCTTACCACTTGGGATGAAGTTGACCCTGACCTAGTAGCCCTTTGGAAGCCTTTTAAAGACCTGGCTATTTTCGAAGAATGGCATCAGAGTTAGTTGAGCCTGCCAGAGTTTGTTAACTTACTGCTGATGAGCTTGACCTGTGGTATTCTTTTATGTCTTTTTATTATATGCCTTCCTTTTTTTTGTTATTTGCATCTGGTATTTTAATTGGTGATAGCTGCCCAAAGTCACTATTGCAAGAGGAGTGGCCCTACAAATGAAATAAAATCAATTAATCAGTCAGGCAATCAATCAAATTCTTGGCCTTTCCCATCCCATTCATTTCTCCTCTAACTGAATGTCTTGGGCGCTTCTGCTCCATTCTGAGGTCTTGCCATGGTCTTGGATCCCTGCCAACCTTCAGGATCAATAGCAGGTATCTTCTATAGTGCAACACAAGTTATAGCTTTCTTTACAGCCAAAATGGCCTGGTTGAGGACTCTATCTACAGTAGCTAGGCTTTCTGGCAATTGGTAATGCCAGCATATCTGGGAGGAATACGAATAGAGCAAGATAGCATCTTAAAAGCCTGTGGTTAATCTCAAATTCTCTTCTATTATTACCATTCTTATTGTTCCTGAGAACTAAAATACACCTGAGTATAAATTTATTGATTGCTTATTTAGTATCCTACTACTATCACTTGAATGTTGTATCTTATGCTTTATGATGATTCTACTTTATGATTATGATCATGATTTATTACTTTGCTGTTGTGTGCACACTGAGTGCTGATGCACCGGAGAAAAATTCCTTGTGTATCCAATCACACTTGGCCAATAAAGATTTCTATATGGGGCACAGGGTGGGGAAAAAAGCAATATTATAAATGCAACAATGCAACTGCATAGCTTACTTTGAATATAGTGCTTCTGGTTTTGGGGTTTTTTTTTGGCAAAGAACTTGGACTGGGAGGTAGACATTACACTATAGATTTCTCTCTGTACATAAGCCTCCATCTCATTGTCATTAATGTTATTGCTTCACTTTAAATCTGGCAGTCATCCAGAATCAAAACAGCAATTTAAATCAGGATTCACTCTGATCAGCAAACAAATGTCATTAAAGTAACCCTCCAACTCTACCACCACACAGGTACACACAGGTATGGTGTGACCCCTTTGCCTTCCATTTTACACCAATCTGTTAGTTTCTTTCCAAGGTCCAGCTCAGAATGAGTCTTTTCATCAAGGAAATGGGCAAGTTACACACAGCAAATTTTGGCTAATAGGGGGTTTCTAAGCTAGAGTTCAGATTGATTTTTGGGGATCTAGGAACTTAAAGGGGAAAAAAGTACTAGCTTTTAGCTGAAATTAAGTTTTTCCTTAAATAATATATTTAAGCAACAAGATGATCTATAGCCTAAAATGTTTATTAACTTTGATATATCTCATTATCTAATATCACTTTATCCTAGAAAAGGTTATATGGTCTTATTATTGATTTAATGAGTAAAGAAGCACACATTACTACATTATGTATTTATTTCAAAATATTTTGATAACTATATTAGAGCATAATTGGATTTTTTAAAATACAGTCAATCACTATATATTTATTTTATGGACTTAAGTGCAGTTTTCTGAGAAGGGCTCCATTGACCATCTCATCAGAGTCTCAAAAGGATCCATGGCATTGAAGGTAAAGAACCACAGCTCTAGAAATTTTTTAAATAAATTTAAAAGAATTTCCAAAACAAGCATTTGAATAAAAACCCACCTTAAACAAATCAAGGAGAGGAGATAATACTGATAACTAAGTTAATGATACATGCCATGTTTCTTCAAAAATAAGACTGGGTCTTATTTTCTTTTGGGTCCCAAAATAAGCACTAGGGCTTATTTTCAGGGGAGTGTCATTTTTCCCTCCATGTATGGGAGGCCCATTTCTTCTGCTTGCTCACAGTGGGGCGGGAAGCCGTGCGATGTGTCAGTTCTGTCACTGTGAGGCAGCGGGGATGGAGCTGCCCCATGTGCCCTGCACTGACTTACCTCAGGGCCCCCACAGCCAGGCCACCCACACCCCAACACCTGCCTCACCTTGTGGCCACGGTACCAGCAGCCCCATCCAGCAGGACGCCATGTGGCTGCTGGCCATTTCTGCTTGCTCACGGCTACAACGGAGGAGGCCAAGCAGCACATTGGTGCTGGTGCTGCAGCCACAAGGCGAAGCAGGTGGACCTGCCCCATGTGCCCCACACTGGCTTATCTCAGGGCCCCCACAGCCAGGCCATCCACGCCCCGACACCTGCCTCGCCTCGCGGCTGCAGCTGTAACTTTCTTCTATTGTTGCACAGCTTACAATTCAACCCCGCACAATTTCTTTCTTAGACTTTTGAAAAAGAAAAGGCCAACATTCAGCAAAACATACTTGTGAATTGCATCCAACCATCCCACCTTATGTACTAAGAGGAGAATGAATATTCACAGGACCAAAGGCATCTACCGATGAAAGAAATATAGCTGCAAGCAAGCAAGCAACAGACTGTACCCATCAGGAAGATTTAAAGTACGCTTGTTGGGAAGTGAAGATCTGCAATCCAGACCACAATATAACACCTGTATTGTGGGCACTTGCATACAAGCACTCTGTGCCAACTCAGAAACTGTTTTACACTACTGAGATCATACAGGGTTAGCTATTTCTGGGAGTTGAGCAGATTTATTTCTGACTCAGTTCCAGACTGTTTCAAATGAATGTTGGAAATGTAAATGTAAAGAAGGGACTTTTTATCATTTATGGTGGATGTTTTATAAAGCAAATAAATATTGGAGTGGGATTCATATCTTAATACAGACAATGCTTAAAGAGAATATAAAGAGAAAATCAAAGACTTTTCTTTTGGTTTTAATGGAAAAAGACCTGGGGGAAAAGGAACTTTGATGTTATATATGTTGACAGTAATAAGACTACTTTATGCACAAGAATTCTACTGTATCCACACAATGAGTGCAGGGGGAAAAGTGTCCCAATAAATCAAGAAAATTAAGAAAACAAATCAAACAGGCTTATATGCAAAAGCATTCCCCCTCCCCCCACTGGCATCCTCTGGATGAGCTAGGCTTGCACCATAGTGGCCAAAAATTTGGTGTTGCAGGCTCAGCATATACAGAAGAAGCCAACTTGGAAATGGCAACCTCAAACCATCAGTACAAGAAGAGGAGGATTTTGAGGAGTAGCATGAAAAGATGTTTCCCTCTGAGATCTTTCAAAAGAATCCAAAACATCATAATCTACAATCAGGTACAGGTCCCAAGCTGGCGCCTGGTTTTTGTTTTTGCACTGCCAACCCAAGTCATCACACAATCACTGCAGAGGGAAGAGCAGGCAAGGAGACACTGCCGCAGAGCTAAACTGAGCTGGCTGATTCTGAAACAAATGTCATATTAGGGATATTGTTGGTTGGGACTGATACAACTTTTAAGAAAAGCTTTCCACCTTGGAAAACTCAAGGCAACTAAACTCCTGCTTATTCCTGGTTAGGCCTTCCAGGAGCGTTACTCGCTAATTTGGCAGCCACTCAAATCAGCTTCCAGCTACACAGACTAAGAGTCACAGATGGTAATCCCGGTGAAAAGATCTTCGCCACACCTACATGAAACACCGCGAGCGCACCTTTCACGCAAGGACCGATTGAAGCTCATTACTCAGTTCATTGTACAGAACCAGCCTTAATTTAGGGCGGAAGGCGCGCCCGCTATCTCGGTCACCCGGCGATGAGACTGTCGGGTGACGATCCACGGGGTGACCAACTCTGGCCAGCTGCCCCCATGGAGGCTACCAAGATTGTTCTGCGGCCAGTCCTGGAGAAAAGCGGAAGCTTTTTTCCGCTCAATCAGGGAAGGGCGCTTGGCACAGCTGGTGTCTCAAGGCCTTGCAGCAAAAAAAGAAAGAAAGAAAGAAAGAGCTGGAATCTCTAACTGCGTCCCAATCCCACCCATTCCAGGGCTCCAAATGAAACCAAACCCTTAATCGGATTGCGTAGAAGAGCCGCTCGCTGGAATCTACTTACCGCCGGCTTCCGCAAGGCCACAATTCTGCTTCTCGGAACCTCTCCCTATGCCCAGCACATCGGCTCCGAATTTAAACGCAGCAGCTGCCCTTCCAAGTTCCGGGCTACGAAGGTGGGGTTTTGCTGACTGAATGTGCGGGCGGGTCCTCTGGAGTTTGGGCGGGGGGCGGGGATTTAAAGGCGCCGCCGCTGTGCCGGGCTGGGAGAGTTCAAGCTGAGTGCAGGCGCTTCTCTGCTGCAGAAACTGGTGTCGGACAGTAAGAGACGAGATGCCGCTGCTCTTCCTTCTTTTGCCACACAACCCATAAATAACAGCACAGCACAGCAATCTAGGGCTGAAAGGGATCTTGGAGGCCATCTAGTCCAACCCCTGTTCCTCGGCACCTACCGATTGATCTTGGCCCACATTCGTTCTAGGTGATAGAAGGGGGAAGGATGAGACGATGCTGCAAATTTGCCAATCGATCCGCGTTGATTTTTTCCAGATATATTTTTAAGTCACAGGCTTACTCCTCAAGGAATAAGGGTTTCTGCATTTCTGCCCAACTCACCGGAGTTTCTCTTTGAGGGAGACCTATTTTTTTTGGTCTCCAAGGATTGGAGTCCTTAATGCTTCTAACGTGGCCGAAGGGTTTAGGTGAGATCGGTAAAGATTTGTACGTGGATGGACAATGGGCAAAGTTTGGATTTTATTCCCCCGCCCCAATCCCCCCCACCACCGAGGGAAAATCCTTGTCTTTCTTTCTTTTAAGTATAGCAAGCCTGCTTTAGCACTTGCACTAGGACAGGTGTGTTTTCTGCTTCAGAACAGTGAGCATTCATCTTGCTGACCATTAACGATAGTGGTGGGAAGGGCTTCTGGAATCACGAAAGAAGAGGGCTGGGTTGTACATTGCCAACTCTGATTCATGGCAACAGGGTGGAACTGCGTCCAGTCCAATATATTCCTCACAGGCAGGTCTAGTAGCACTTTCATTCAAAGGAGGACAAATAGACAGCCAACTCCCCTCTAGCCAAATGTTTTGTTGTTTGCTTGCACAGACGTTCCGGGAAAAGAAGCATTTTCCTTTGGGTGGATCAATGGTGTAATATGAATACTGTTCAAAAGTCTTTCATTCATGCAGTGGTTCAATACTTTGCGCAGAAGCAACTTTGAAACTGAGAAGATGGTATATCTTTAATTGGACCTTTTTGATACAGTAAAAGTATACAAAATAAAAAAAAAGAAAATAGGGGATAAATGTTGAGAAAAAGAAAACATAGTTATGCCTTCTGCCTTTCTATCAAATAGCTATCATCTTATATTTTCTCCTGATCCTCTTTAACCCTTTTTAATGCCCAAACCTGAAAACCATCTATTCAATCTTTTCTTCTTTCAACAAAATGTCTATATAAAGTTTCCAGTCTTTCCAAAAAATAGTATTTGCCATGTTTTCCTTGACCAAACTGTTCAGCTTCGTCATTTCTGCAACTTCATTTTATACTCCAGTTTTCCAGTTTGGGTCAAGGACTCTTGACCCAAAGGAAACTTGATATAGATCAGTTTCTTTCTATATAGGATACCGCTCCAGGTATACAAAGTATATGATCCAATGTGACTCTGGGCAGAATCTCAAGTTTTCTATTCTAATTTTGGCTCTTATTGGAAAGGAAATTTTACTTACATCCCTGGTTCCTGCTTATTAATATAAGCAAATGCAACAGTTGACTGATTTTCTCTGGACTGAAACTAGTCAAAGGATAACAAGCAAACAAGTATTTGCATGGGAGATAATGAATGCTAGGGCTGTGCCATAGATTGGGCAGTGAAAAAGAAATCTAGAAGAATGTAGAAGTGGTACATCTGCTTCTGTACTAAGGGCAAGAAACCTGATAGACATGTCCATAAAGTCAGCAGGTTAGCTTGATTTAAATGAGACTTTACCTTTTATCTTGCTTTTGGGATGACTACGCTTATCCCCTTGCTTTTCTATTGTTTTCACCTCATGAGAATTTGCAAATTGTGTGTTATTGCTGTGGTATGTACCAAATGTCCATATGTGTATCTTCACTGGATTGAAAAAAAAATCTAAAGGAAGTCTGCTTTATCAGAAATGGAAGCTGGTGCTGCAGAGATGGTTTGTCTGTGGACGTTCATTTTACATATCCAAGGGTGATGACAAGAGCTGCTTAGTTACATGCTTAGGAAAATAAACCCAGAGGAATGTAGTTGAGGGAGGTTGGACTGGAAACTCTACCTCCCTATTTGTTTAAGCTCACCCAAAGCTTAAGTCCTTAAAATATATGCAGTGCATAAATTGCAAAATTAGAAAACCAGACATGGCAGCCACTTATTTTCAGATCTATTTGCTTCAAAATCCTACTGCTTTTAATGAAGCTAGAACCCCTGGTAGTATCACAAAACACCAGCCATATATGTTGTTTGCTGTATGAATATAGAAAAACTATAGAAGTACATGCATTAGTCTTCTTCATGATTTCATTATGGATGACTTGGCATGTATCCCTGAGACTTGGCTGGCTGAAGGGTGGGAGGTTGCAGATCTGCCCAACTGGATTTTATGTTAGTCCTTAACTCTGGATCAACAAAAAATCATTACTGCACATGTGAATGTGCTGCATGAAGATATTGTTTCTTAACAGAGTTGGAAGGGACCTTGAATGCTCTGCTCAAGTAGGAAACCCTGTTGCTTGAACCTTTCAGACAAATGGTTGTCCAATCTCTTCTTAAAAACCTCCATTGTTGGGGCCAAAATACTTTTAACAGCGACAGTGGACATCTAAAAATATGGTTTCCTTTGAAAATAAAGTTCACTGACAATATTTGGCTTACATACAAGTAACTGAGGACAATGAATCCTCTGCGAATGAGCAAAGGATTCAGAAACATCACAATTCCATTGTTTCATGTGAAATTGGAGAAAAGGCTTTGTAACCACATAATCTGGCATTTAGATCTTTGGACCCTTAATAAAGAAAATAATCTTGTGTGAACTGAAAGAAGATACCTCATGAATCCTATTACCTGCTTTTGAAAATACATCCTAACATATAAAGATGAAGCAATATTTTTCAGTATGATCTACAGTAGATTCAATAAGCTTAAGGATATGTGAAAATAAATTCTATATTGGTAGTACATGGCTAGTATATAAATCTTTTTCTTTAACTAGTTTTTCCCATTTTTTCTTTCTTTTTACGTTTATTTCAGTCATCCCCAATGTATGAAGTTATTTTTTCATGGTGTAACAATTAGTCTTTTTTTACTGCCATTGTTGTAGCTCTTTGCATCTCTCATTTTGTTTCTTTAAGTGTCCCATGTACATACAGAACATTGGGCTGAGCAACTTACTGTCTCCAGCTATGTTATATGAATTCCATCACAGAATATTTGGGTGTTCGTTTTTTGCTGGGTTGGGGGGAGCGGAGAATATTCGGTGTTTATTAAAAGAACAGTGGAATAATAATGACATAATGAGTTGTGGTAATTAACTCATTAGCACCCCATACTTAAGCATTAATAACTAACTATTCAGCTGTTAGGTTGACGGTGGTTCGTGTCGCAGAGTCTGGGAAAGCTATTAAACCGGCTCGAGTGGATTTAAACTAAGCAAAGAGTTCGTGCACACGAGATACGCGCCTCCGCATTTCCCGGACGGCCAGCAGTCCCTCGCGAGTCCAAGGAGAAGGCGACGGGGGCCGGGGCCATCCATCCATCCATCCATCCAAGCGCAACCCCGAATGAGAGGCAATTTCCGGCGCCTTTAAGAGTCTCCTCTGCGACGGAGCAACCCTGAGGCCTTCTCGGGAATCTCGGCCCCGCTTTGAGTCACGCTTCAGCTATGTTGACTGCGGCAGCGCGGCGGGCCGCTGCCACACCCAGAGAAACCAGGGAGGGCAACGGAGCGGGGAAAGCCATAGAGCTACGGAACCAGATTTTTTTTTTTTTTATTTAAATAAACAAATCTGATTCCGGATTTTTGTGCCTTTGTTTCTTCGCCTCTGAGATACTTCAAACAGTAAGTCATAGCGCGAAGTGCCTTTTCTCTGTCACTCTTTCAGAACTTCGCTGCATTCCAAGGGGTGACGGAATCTTCAGTTTCAGGCAAATCCCAGCTTTTCACTTAAAAAGTTTCCCGCCTCCTTAGTGTAGCCTCAGACGGCAATTGAAGAAGAGCGAAGCCTCCTTTGAGCCACTCATCAAGTTCTGATTCGGCCAATAAAGAACAAACGGGCTCGAAATCTCGGCCGTGGGTGTAACAACGCTCAACCACACCAGCTTGTAACTCTCGTGCTCCCTCTGTTGGCATGAACGAGCCTCTGGTTACCCAAAATTGCAGCATCAACTCAAGATACGCTGAAAAGGACAGATTTTATGTAGTTGGGATGTAATCTAAATTCGAACCTTGGAAACGCATATCAGAAAAATATCCACTCCAGGCCAGCATAAGCATCTGCAAGGGCTGTGCAGGCAAACAAGCTCATATTGTGACCCATTTGTATTTAATATAGCTCTAAACTGTTGCTCAACTTCCTGAATAATCTCCAGAAGCATTTTCTGCTAAAAATATATAAGAGCAGGTAATGTCCCATCTAAATTAGGGGTATTAAGTTTGGGCTAAATTTTTTTATTTATTTTATTTGTCAATTGCTTACAAGATAATAGGTATAAGTATAAACATGGTTATGAATACATGAAATGGATACACATAAGAAAAAGAAACAATAGGACAGGGACAGTAGGCACGTTGGTGCGCTTATGCACGCCCCTGGATATCCTGATGGCCGTTGGATGGCAGCAAAGAGGTGGAGAAAACTTAACTATTTTCACCATGAGTTGGCAGCTCGAATCTGGTACCTCTAATTCTAGCTAATGTTTTGTGTTCCCCTATGGGCTAATCATATGAAGGTAGCAAGCTCATCACCATGAATACAGGGCAACTGCTGTCTCCCTCTATTCTCTCTATATGTGGTATTTAAAATATACAGCTTGACACTAACCTATCTTGCTGGCAGCACTAAGCTAATTCTGATCGATCTCGAAAAATGCTAAGCAGCATTTGATCAGGTTAATACTTGCATGGGAGTCTACTAAAGGAGGAAGGGATTCAAGCTATTTTCTAAAGC